ACCAAAATTGGTCTGAAAAATGAAAACATGGAAGCTTCTGGATTCTTTGCATATATTCAGACCGAAACCGGTCTGTATATATATAATTCATACTCAATTTAATTTAGCTTTAGGATAAAAAATCGCTCGAGTGCCTATATTCGGACCGATACCGGTCTGTATATATATATACGGACCGGGATCGATCCGTATATGCCCTTAACAACAGCTTTTTATTTTTTTTTGTTATTTCATGCCTAACTCGTTCTACTCTCGTTTTAAACCGTAACATTCCGAATGTTTGCAAGCCAAAGTGGTTAACCTAAATAAAAAAAATTAATTTTATTTGCTTGTGACTCCGAAAGAGCATTACGTAATATTATCTCTAATAACCTTTAACTTATACGTTCGTGGTTTTGCAACGATATTACTCCGTACCATCGTAAGATAATTTCAGGTAGACAATCGATGGTTTTGTGGTTCCAAGGGACTGTAGGGTTGATGTACATGCAATTGGTTTTCGCAAAAATGGATTTAGGACACGAGAAGATGGTAATGTCCTTAAATGAAAAGAATAAAAATGTGAACTGGGAGAAGTTTCTGGATTTTTTCGAGTATATTCGGACCAAAATCGGTTTGAAAAATGAAAACATGGAAGCTTCTGGATTCTTTGCATATATTCAGACCAAAATTGGTCCGTATATATATTCATACTTAATTTAATTTTGCTTTAGGATAAAAAATTCCTCGGATTGCCCATATTCGGACCGACAACGGTCCGTATATATAGATTGAGGACACGAGGAGATTGTGATGTCCTTAAATGAAAAGAATGAAAATGTGAACTGTGAATTTTTTCCCAATATATTCGGACCAAAATCGGTCCGAATATATTATTAATGCGCCAAAAATTTCCCAAAAAGATTGAAAGTTTTTGATGTGCCGGAAATTTTTTCCAATATATTCGGACCAAAATCGGTCCGAATATAAGCCTTATCCCTTGTTTTCTAAATACATATACGGACC